AGACGACGATATGCAATTTATGCTGGTATTATACTAGTAATAAAACGAGCTCCGTCTCTTAATTCCGGGAAAAGTTGAAATAACAGATGTATTTTTAGACCTAATATTTACCGAAAGACCGAATTTATATTTTGAACTTACCTTTTCTCCGTCTTCATCATAGTTCTGAGGATGACTCGAGCTGGCAAGTGAACATGTCTCATCATTTATGTCAGGACTTACATTTAACTTCATATAATCAGTCATACGACGTGATTTAGCAATAACTTCTTCGTTCCTCTTGTTTTTTTCTTTTGCTATTTTTCGTTTGTAACTTCCGCTTTTATATTCTTGTTTTTTTTTTGTGACGATCTAATTGTATTTTATGGCGATGCATAATACTATAAAAGTTTAGCTATTTATGAATTTAGATGGTACATCGAGTCATTAACTATTAAGAGTGTCAAAGCCAGTACATTTTTAGTAAAAAAAAAAATTAACAAAAACTTTTAAATGTTTCTCTACGAAAGAAAAGAATTGGATCGACGGATCCATATTTATGTGGAACGAAAATTATTTAAATAATAATTCGTGTATTTTTTAATGGTGATTTTGTGACAATTAGAAAAATAAACTAAACAATAATAAAAAAAATAATATCGTAAAATAGAATTATCTTTTCATAACTATTTGTATGTATAAAAAATGTTAATAAAAAAAAGATACATACTTTAATACTTAGTTAAAAAGATACCAAATTAAGAATATTTGAATATCAGTAACCGATATATTTTTATTTATTTATATAATTTTATAAAATAAAAAAATTTATCTTAAAAATAATAAATTAGTAAAAATTACCTGCAGGCAGACGGCAAACAATGTAGACTAATAGATAATTCTTTATCAACAGCGTCCAGCGATCAAAGTTGCAAATGACGATATTGTCATAAATGATAATAATATAATAATTTTGCCCATAGGCGTGTTTACGTACGAGTCGTTTTCAATGATGAAACAAGAAACGGTTCAGTCGGGGGAACGAATTAATAATAACAGCAAAAAAAAAACTAAACGTTATCGAGCGATAATCTACCGACGACGCGGTGTATGGGAAATTCCCATTATAATGTACACACGTACACACTATATACTATATAGTATATTTTATTACACAACACCAATTTTAGAAAACTGTAAATGAAAAATTTTTAGACGGAGCCTTTTTTTTTTTTTTTTTTAGTTGTATGATAGTGTGGTGAGGGCCCTGTTGTGGTGCGGGCCCATAGGCTACAGCCTATATAGCCTACGCTTAAATCCGGCCCTGCATACATAGAAATATATAATGATTGTCGGAAAATTAGTACGGTCGTTAAACACCTGGGTTTCTTAAACTATAAAAATAATAATGAAGCATATACACATAAGATAAGTACTGCATGACTTTGTAGGGATGTATTAATCTAGTCTACAACGAAAAATGACAATGTCAATAACGATGAATAAAAATATTGTATGGGTTTTATGCGACCTAGTATAATATATAGTACAACTGTAACATTCAACGAATTGCCACGTGCACAATGTACACTGCACATAATTTCCAATTTTGTAAATTTTGTTATTACTTATAAATTATAATGTAAAGTTTTAAAACTGAAAAGGGAAATGAACTAATGCTGTACAATAATTATTTGTATGTTATTTTAAGAAAAAATAATAATACTATTAGGTGGAAATGTTCACAAAATACAACATTAAAATGTCCGGAAAAAATTGTCGACAAATTTAATTAAACCCGTAAGTTTTAAATTAGTAATAATTTATATTATTATATGTATTGTAATATATAATGTAAGATGAAAACATTAATTTTATTTCAGTATATAAACTATTCAAATATAGTGTCACATAATCACATTTCAAATAGTAAAATTTGCGAAATAACTGTTATTAAACATAATACAAAAAAAAGAACCTTAGACCCACGAGAAACTCCTAGTTAAATGGTTTCGACCATCATGCACAATATTTCTTAAGATACAGTGGTGACACTTGGAAATTTGTCTTCCATAAAACGTAACATACGAAATTACCGACATAGAAAATTTGCCGATGAACCATTTAATGCAAATTTGTGTCTTCCCAACGAGTGGACAACTACGATGGGTGCTGAGGTTAAGCCAATTTTGATTTTTGATAATAAACAAGTTGATTCACGAATTTTGATTTTTGCCTCTAATTTCACTTTAAATTTTATCTTACGCGGAAACTTGGTTTATGGATGGAACTTTCAAGTGCTCCACTATAATATTCCAACAAATTTATGTTATACGAGGAAAGTATAAAAATAAAATCTCTACATGTGTGTATACATTTTACAAGTTGTTATTAATTGTATTCAAACTTCAAACAATCCAAAACCTAAATATATCATGATGGATTTCGAAATAGGAGCTTTATGTGTCACTAAACATGTATTTGATGAGTGTGCAGATTAAAGGATGTTTTTTTCACTTATGTCAGTCTATGTGGCGAAAAATTCAACACCTAGGTATAAGTTTTGTTTACAAAAATGACAAAAATATCAGAATAAATTGCGGTATGATTAATGCTATAGCGTTTTTACCTCTCAATGAAGTATCCAGTGGAATAGCTTATTTATACACAATAACTCCTATAGAACTATTGCTAGTGGCTAAATATTTTGATGACATCTATGTCAGTGGTACTAGTGGTACCCCAATGTTTTTTCCAATTTTGTGGAATGTATTCAACGTCACATTGAATGGTGGTGAACGAACAAATAACTATTGTGAAGGGTGGAATAATTATTTTAATAAGCTTGTAGGAACAGGCAGCCCATCATTTTGGTTAGTTCTTCAATGTATTCAACAAGATGAATCTATGATGCGAATTGAAAGTATATGGCATGAACAACTTAATAATTTAATACCTCGAAAAAAAAATAAAAATATGCTTCACTTCAATATAAACTTCATGAAACTATTACCAGTTATGTAAATAAAGAAATTAACAATGGATATTTTTTTTAAATTCCATAGGGAAACTATTGTAACTAGGTATTATAAACTATTGTAAATTTGTATTTAATTTTGACTATTGTGAATTTATATTTAATTTTAGACACGTTTTTTTACTAATATATATAAGGACATATTTTTTTACTATCATATTACTTTTGTGAACATATTTAATTTAATTTCGAACACATTTTTTGAACCACTGAAAATAAAATATTTTATAGTACCAATATTCCGCTTATTTCATTTCTTTTGTTCAAAACACAGTAACCGTACCAATTTTCCGTTAACAATAATACATAATATACAATACATAATATACAAAAAATAAAGTTTATAAGGTTCGCGTAATAACGATTGTCATAAACCGGGGAGGAGCCAGTGTTTCCCAACTTTTAATGAACCGTGAACTGATATCTGAGTACAAAATAGTAAATAAAAATTTACTATTTACCGATTTTAGCATTTGATCATCGGACAAAGAATTGCCGACTTTTAAAAATTTCTTAGAGTGGGAAATTTGTCATAGTCTGCTCCCCCCCCCCAAATTAGACACCTGGTTGTCGAGCTCACATTTGCCACGGCGTAGAAAAATATCCGATGCGAATTCGTTCACACCGCAACACGTTTGCCGTACACGCCGGACTCGCGTAGACCACGGTGTTACACCATCAAAATGTTTGCGCAAATGGTTTGATCGTATATCAGAGGACACTTATGATTATTAACTATACACAGCTTATATTATTGCCTATACTAAACTCCTCAAAAATGGTCCGATTGTAATAGAAAAACTTCTTTCATCTGTTGTTGCGACAGAAATTGTCAGTCTAACTAAAATTTTAAGATATTATGTATGTATTGGACACTAATTTTAATCTAAATGATTTAATGTATCTCGATTAAACATTTATATTTTTAAACTCGGGATTAACTAATAAAGAACTATTGTTTTTTTATTCACGGAAATGACCGATGGACGTGTAACACGCGAAGGTAAACGATTCCTGCAGTAACGATTATAACATTTGAATTATTTTCATAAATCATAAATTATGAAATTTTTCTGTATAATATTATCAATTGATACAAGATACCACACAATTATGGGTGTGTGGATTGTATGTATAAGAAATTATAACCATTTCTGTTCGATGTAAATTGTTCATATTATTTTATTGGTATACGAAAAATTTAGGATTCTTTAATGATCAATACAGAATAACGAAATAATTTTTTTTTGCAATGAATGAAAAAAACTTTTTTAGGGGATTTGGGGTTTCCCCCTCTCTCTCCCACTTGATTACGCATTGGGAGTTGAGTGTCTTAACTACATTTTCAGATATTTTAGCGTACCGCTATTTTTTTTCAAAAAAGGATTCATGGGACGGTCAAGTTTTTACAAAATTATAAAATGTTATTATGTTTTATAAAATGTAATTTAATAGTGTGTGTTATTTTTAAATACGTGATAAATGATGATAATCAAACATCGACATCGACAATTTTTGTTGGCATACACAATTGTGTACACCTGTAGTTTATTTATTTTTTATTTTAATTATATTTTTGGACTTATTATTTAAGATTGAGAATTTTTTAAATTTTTTTACGAAAGGTTATGTTTCAAACTTTGATAGTGAGTGTAACAAGTTATGGAACATTCATTGGTTTGGGGTAACATGTTTGAGGATGTCATAAGATGTGGATTAGGTTCAGTTTTTAATTAGGAAGGGATGCAAAATTTGTATGTATTATTACATCTCTATTACTATTATTATTCTCTATTATTTTTTTCTAAGTTAAACACTAGTTGAATACATAAAATACACAGATCTGGTAAATTCTTTGTTATTAAATTTTTATTAGTTATAATTTGAACCCTGAACATATGGTGTTATTTTTTTTTTTATTCTTATCACTTATATCCTTATCATTTACCAGCTGTGCGGTTGCGGAACTAGTGAGACCTATGATACCGTGATCGAGTGGGTGTCGAGATCAGGAACAAACACACAGAATAGATTAAACCACGATGTAGATAATCTACATCGTGGATTAAACTGTATCTCGGAATACGCATGGAATTATATTGTTCCAATTACAGACTAAGATAGGCACGACGATGTGATAACAACGTTTAAAGCAAGTATGGTATAAACAACATAGTGATAAAGACGACGTCGGACATTAACAACAACGGCAGCATCAGGAGCAGCAGCGACAACAAATGACAATGTCGACAACGGTCGATCGTAATAAATCTGTTGCAAACACAGCAACTGCTCAGTCGAACGTGTAAAGGTTTCGTTTTTGACCCGTGGCGAATCCACCATCGCGTGAGTTGTGCGTCTTCGCATTTTCCCGCCCGCGTACGGGTAGTGGGCGCGCGAGAGACGAACAGAAAAGGAAATGTCGTTTGGAGTTTGGCCATTGCGCAATGTCGATCCTGTGAACGGCCAGCAGTTGAAAAAACGTAATGTTCTTGATACGGAATGATACGTCGCCTGCAGCAGTGGAGGAGGAGATGGCAGTGACGGACAATGCACGGAGTGATGGCTATTGCATCGGTGGTCACATTCAACGATCGGCATCTGACGTCAAGTGAGTTCTATGTCTGTTGTTTGATCGATTTTTTTCTTAAGTTTCGTCGACCCGTTTAAGCTTTCTAACTGCTAATACATATCTGACGAATTACGCTATTCCGGTATGTAAAAAATTTGTTTTTACGGTCATAAGTGGCATCTAAGTGTGTGAGTTAGTTGAAATTTTAATTTGGTCCGTTGCTATTTTCGAACGGTTAAGTTAACCGGATTCCGTTGCAAATGCTCTTGATATTTTCTCGCGTTTTTCACCCATGAAGTTACCCGGCCAACAGAAGTAGAATCTTGACAATCCATTTATTACTTAAAAAAAGGATTTTATTTTCATCTATTCTCATTTTGTCGTTGTTATTATAGTTGAAACGATTCTCGATAATTGTTATCATCATTATCAGTTAGAAATAAACAAGTTAATATATATATATATATATATATATATATATATATATTATGTACTACGTCGGAACTTACTAGCACCTATTCATTTTTTCTGACATTTTTCTATGGTTCTAACAACGTGATGTTATTATTACTAACCAGTTTTAATGTTAAAACTGTAAAATAAGGGATGAGGTTATTGGTACATTGTTAATTTTTTTTTTTATCAATTTGTGTATCATAATTATTATATATTAGTTAAATTGAGAGGTATACACGTGTGTATCTGATTTGAAACGATTTTATTACTATTTTATTAATGACGAAAATGTAATTTAATTCAAACTATTGATCTAAAATTAATCTTTATAAATCTATTGTGAATGGCAAAATATTGAAATTATTAATTCGAGTTACAGTTAAAAAATGTACCAATCGGTACCAATTGGACTTGGAAATTTTATTAAATTTATGTTTTATTTTTAGAATGAAATTCATAAACGAATGCATACAGGAAATCAATCCTGCTATGGAGACAATTGTGAAGAAATGTAAGTTTATCACTTATTCTATGTAATTTATTTAATATTGATCCACGGAACTTTGAATTTTTTACCCGGATTATGAATCGGTGAAAAATCATTGCTACTCGCACTTGGTGGGAAGTGAAGACATTTGAGTGATCGTGAATTATATTAATATCAAATGTGCTTGTTGTTTAGAACCATGACTGTAGATAGTAATAAAGAGATGAATAGATAATAATAATCTAATTTTCATATTAATTCAAATGATATTTTTATCTCAGAGCTTGCGCTAAGAAAATTTTAGAACTGCCTAACATTTTAATATTTTTGTACATGTAGATTAAATAAATTTTTCACTCGCTAAATTCGCTTAACAACCACTGTTTACTAAACTACATATTGACTACACATGTAAACACTTAATACATTACTTTATTTATTACAATTTATTAATAATAATAACAGATTAAAATTTTTTTTTTTTATTTAACAAAAAATATTAAATAAAATACATAGCTAATTTAATTAAACAATATAACATATTTTAATAAAACAGAAAATTCATGATTTTTGGTACTGACCAAATTGGTTTTTAGAATTGCCCATTTTAATTTAGAACTACCATTAACGCAATCTCTGTTTTATCTTAAGATTTTAAGTATAATCAGGCGTAAATTGAGTTAGCGTGAAGGATAATCGTTCATATTTGTGGTTATTAAAATTAAAAATATATTTCATTTCAAAGTTTACCCGGCGTGGTTTTTGATAATAAATCGAGGGATATTTTTGACTTTTACATTATTGAGTATATTATTTTTATTTTCCTATGTCTTACAAAATACTTTTGCCATTTAACTATTTTGTAAATTGTATGAAAACTTAATATTGTAATTATTATTGTAATAATGCGAAAAAATAATAAGTCAAAAATATACTATTTTTAGATTTTGACGCACCGTAGTATCGTTGCGTTACGCATTACTTTAGAACGTTTTTAATTTTTAAACTTCGTGCGAGCAGCAAAATTTTTTTTTTGATTCCTAATTAGTTTGAAAATTAATATTGATTAAAAAGTAATACTTTGTAAAGTAAATTTATTCCCAAGTATCTGAAAGTTTATTTTACTAAGGGCACAAATTAATGCTTAAATTTTATTGTGAAAGACACATGTGTCTAAATGGTAAATCTAAATGGTACCGAACTTCAATTAATTGAGAGAGGAAACAAAATTAATTTCCGGATACCCACCTCTTAATTCACCCTACTCATTATATTGGTCCCTTGTATTATAAGTTCCATATTAGATGCCTAAAAATATTTTTTTTTCTTATAGAATGTTGATTATAAAATCCTTACTATCATCTACTAAAAAAAAAAGAAAGACAACTGTACCTCTTGGATTATAGTCTATATCAGTGGTGCCCAACCCGCGGCCCACGGGCCATATGTGGCCCGCAAAGATATTCTATGTGGCCCGTTACGAATTTTCTAAAATTCATAATGTCGTTTGATATTAAATTCTTTAAAAACTGAAACCGTTTCACGACACACAAGACAAACGGCTTTCCATTAATTTCAATGAAAAAGTAATTTATAGACCATTAAAAATTCGGCAATCAATATATTTGCGTTTTTTTTCTGTCTGCCATTTTCATAGGCAAACTTTACAATTAAATATCGATATCAACCGTGTACTTAAAATAACGTAATGATCAAACTAATGTGTACCTACGATGTGTACCTTAATTCATAATCTTTTCAATAGACAATAAAAGATAAAAAAACAAGTCCAATATATAAGATTATTTTTGTACTTTTATACTTTGTGGCTCGCTTGAAGATAATTGTTTACCAAGGTGGCCCGCCAAACAAAAAAGGTTGAATATCACTGGTCTATATATATAGCCATTGTCTAGTTAAATATTTAATGCACTTCAGAAGTTTAATTTTGGTTTTAAGAATACCTATATAATATATATAATAATATAATATATTTGAAATAAATTTTAAAAATTACTTTCTGTGCCCTAGTTTAATAAATATTATATTATCTATTCTCTTTTTTTTAAAAAAACCAGATCATATTTACTAATATAAATATTGTTAAAAATGTTTTTAAACTTAAATAAATATTTTGTTTGAAATAGATGACGTATTATTCAATGGTATGGTTCAAAATACTACGCTTACAAGTTTAGAAAATTATTCTTCCAATAATACAACAATTGATATTGGCTCTACTATAAAATGTATGAGTTCTGTTGAAGAAGTATTATCATCTGACAATACAAGTTGTATAATTAAATTAAAAGATAAATATAAAGGTTTACTACCATCAAGTTTAAAAAATTATTCAACCAATAATGAATCAATTAATTTTGACTCAACTGTAATAAGTGTGAATTCTGTTGAGAAAATATTACCATCAGATGCAAATACATACTGTGACACTAAATTCAAAAATAAATTTGAAAATTTATTACCATCAAATAAAACAAATTATGTAATTAAAGGAAGTGATAGATGTAAAATATTATCAATACCAAATCATATAAGTAATGAAGTAAAATTTAAAAATAATTGTGTTTATGTGAATCATATAAATGAGAGTAAAATTGATGACAAATTTGTAAAAAATAATAGTTCTATAGAAACAAAATCAAGCTTAGATAATGCATTTATAGATTGTATGGGTGAAATTCACAGCAACTTATCCTTAAGTGACAATATTTTTGAAAAAATAATTACAAAAAATGAAAATGTAACGATTCCAATAATACATTCAGATTTACACAATCATAAAAGAAAATCATCATTAATTTCAGATAGTTGTAATAGTATAATTGAAAGTGATAGCTCTTATTTTAATACCTCCAAAAAAATATACTCAATTGATGAAATTAAAGATTCTGATAATCTTCCAAAGCCAAGACCAAAATCTCGTCAAGAAATTGCTGTTGGTATTCCTAATATTTTTGCTGATCAATCATCTGAAGTAGAATATTTTAAAATAACTTTAGAACGGTTTTTGCAGCAAGGTATTTGCTTAAGTTTACCACCCACAATTAATAAGTGTATTGAATGTCGTGTTTACCAGATGAAAACAAACTTAACAAAGCGTGATTACGATAGTATAACATGTAGATTTTATGCATTCCGGCAGTTAAAATTTACAAAAAATGGAAATTTGGCTGTTGCTGGTTATCCTGATCCTAATAAAAATATTCAATCTATGGATATGGGTATGTGGTTACCTGGTCAGTATTCATCAACTCCAAGTGATTTTAACATTCAAGTTTCAAGAAAAATTTTAGAAGATGTAGGAGGTCAATTTTGCAAATTTGTTCAAGATGAAAGAGAAGCTTTAAAATTGAATTGGTCAAGTCAACAGCACAAACGTAAAATTGTATGGAAAAAATGTGTTAATGGTATTAGAGAATTGTGTGATGTATGTAAAACAACCATATTCAATCACCATTGGTCTTGTGGTAAATGTGGATTTGTAGTTTGTGTTGATTGTTACAAGAGTAAACTCGAGGATAAACAACCAAAATCAACTATAAAGAATCAATTTAATAAAAAAATTTGGTTACCCTGTTCTGATCAAAAAGATCATGAGGTTGATCAATTATCTATTACTCAAATATTAGCTGGTGATGCTTTAAATTTTATTTCAAAACTTATGCATAAAGTATGCATTTCTCATAACATATTATTAGATTGTAAATGTGCCAGAAAAATGAAAAATTTTATACCTTCTATTTCTACTGATACTATTGCGGATTTTTTTCTGAGTGATAATTATAGAAAAAATGCTGACAAATATAATGATAATGAAAATACAAAATTGAATATTTTATTGAAGAAAAAATTGTGTGAATACCGTAGATCGACAAAAGTTACTGATATATATAAATCCAATGATAAAAGTAAAAGTATTTTGTCTAGGAAGAACTTTAAAGAAAAAAAATGTTGTTCATTTAAATATGTTAAAAGAAAACAATTATTTGCCCCGCAAATGTCATTATTACTTGAAAATAATCTCAGTTCACCTTGTATGTGGCTTTGTGAAGGAAACCTGTTATTTTTATTAGATCCAAATGATAACAACAACTATAAACTTTTTCAGGTATTTATAATTATTAAGTTTTTACTATATTTTAAAATAATAAAATAGGCAGTTAGACATTTTTGTAGATGATAAAATTTATAAATATACAGAATGGGATAAAATTGTATAATGGATAATTTAAAAAAAAAATGCAAAATTAAGGTTTAAATTTAAACTAGGGAAATTAGAACTAAAATATTACAAAATTAGTTGATGTAGTGATACAGGAAGATAAAAAGAAAATATTTTGCAAAAATACATACAAAATAAATAAATTTAATAACTATGAATAAATTAATAAAAACTAGTGGTGGATTGAATTCTTATTTTTTAATATTGAACATTAAAAAAATTTTTCAAACCTTCATTGAACTTTTATATTTTTTTCCGAACTAAACTTTTGAGAGTATTCAGTTGATATCAAACACAAACTTCAATTTTTTCATTTAGATATAAAATATAAAATAACTTAATTATATATATATATATATTTACTTTTTATTTTCAAGTATTCTACATTTTATGTAAAACAAAAGAAATTATATTGAAAAAGGTAAAATACAGAAACAGGTAAATAATAGTAATGTTTTGTTTTTTTAAACTTCAAATGTACCATTTTTCTATAAAGAAAAAAACAATTCTGATAGATAGATTGGATCAGCTTTTATTTTCAAAGATGATATAGTAGTAGAATCAATTCTTAATAATGGTAGATTGAACTTTTGCAAAAAAATATAAAAAAAAGACATCTACGTAAGTAAAAAAAGCTTTTAATTATAATGCCATATATTCCAAATAATAATGTTAATATTTAGTGAAAATTTCAAGTTTTTTAACCCTTTTTTAGGTTATGATGAAAATAGACATTTGATTTAATTGTTAAAACCTTAAATTTTAAATATTGTAAATTTTTCGTGTTTTTGTAATTTTGTATTAGCTTTTCGCAATTTTTCAGAAGACTATGGAGAAATTCATAAACTTTCCCATTTTAAAGTACTAATTAAACACTAAATAATTTTTTCTATTTCCCATGTTAGGTTAGGTTAGGATAATCAGAGAAATATTTTTGGTTGAAGTCATGAGTAGATACAGAAATAATGTCAATACATGTTAAAACCAATAAATTCCTCATATATAATACATTTCGCTCTGAATCTAAGAATTGAAAAAAATGTACACTCACACCAGTGGCGTATATAGGTTTTCATTTCGGAGGGGGCCAATTATGTAATTGATTTTTGGGTGAAAAGGAAGGAAGAAGTCAGAGCCGTGTCAAACATTTCAACGCCCCGTGGCAAAACTGCCAAAAAACGGGGCCACTGGGCACAGGTAGCATATTAAGTGCAGATATGGGCGCCCCCTTACTTTTAAAAAACTACGGCGACCAAGGGCAATTGCCCCCTTTGATCCCCCCTTAACACGGCCCTGGAGGAAGCACATTTACGAAAAAAATTAATTTAACACTATAAGACTTCTCGACTGTCTTTACACCATCAGAGAAATAAGAAACTCAATTTTTTTAATGATTCATTATTTTTTAAAAGTATAAAAACTACATTTTAATAAACAAATTTTTTATTTGAGTCACTCTAAATTCACTACATATTTTCTTAAAAGAATAAACATATTTTATAAATATAAAATTTTAAATTATTGCGTAAGCAACATTCTCAGTGTCGCGACAAATTTTCGGAAACCCCCAGTATTAAGACATATCCATGTTAAAAATAACAATCTTTAACAATAGTGTTTTTCATTTCGGAGAGGGCCCGAGCCCCCTCGGTCCCCCCCATAAATACGCCCCTGACTCACACTGTTTCTAATTAGTAATTATGCTTCGATATTATTACATTATAAAACAAATGATCACAATTTTTTTAGTTGATTTTTTAAGTTATAAAAATTTAATTATCTAATTAAATAATTAAATTTTGAAACATCATGATCAGAGATTAGAATAGTTCGACCTATAATTTCTTTAAAATATTGACTCATCATCAGTTGTGTTGATTATCCATAAAAATATTAACACTTTTTTTTTAAAAAAAATATTGAAATAGTAGATATGTGTTTCTTAATTAATGTTATTTATTTATATCATGTCATACTTTAAAATCATATAAATTATTTCATTATTAATTTTGCAGAAACAATGGAAGCGTGGTCAACCAGTTATGGTAAAAAATGTTGGTAACAATTTAAGTTCTTTGTTGTGGCATCCAGAAGCATTTTCTCGCGATTTCGGTAATTATACTAATGACTTGATCAACTGTACCACTGGAAAAATAATCTCCGACCAACCCATGTATAAATTCTGGGATGGATTCGAAAATGCTGCTGAAAGATTATGCGATAGTCATGGCAAAACAATGCTATTAAAACTCAAAGATTGGCCTCCATCAGCAGATTTTGCTGAGACACTGCCAGATAGATTTCAAGATTTGATGAAATGCTTGCCATTGAAAGAGTATACTCATCGTACTGGTAGATTCAATTTGGCTTCCCGTTTGCCTAAATGTTTTGTTCCACCCGATTTAGGCCCAAAAATGTATACAGCTTATGGTAATGCAGGCACAAAGCACAAAAAAATAGGGACTACTAACTTGCATTTAGACATATCTGATGCTGTTAATGTTATGGTTCATGTTGCAATTACAAAGAACTGCCAAGAACTTGGCTTCAATTGGCATGTGAATAAAGCTTTACAAGTCATTGAAGAAGCAGGTTGCGATGATTTGACTAAAAGACGTATTTATATTAACGGTGAAATTCCGGGTGCGCTGTGGCATATTTACCATGCATCCGATGCAGATGCCATTAGGGACTTATTAATTAAAGTTTCTGTTGAACACGGATTACCTCTGGAACAATGTAGTGATCCAATACACGATCAATCACATTACCTAGATGATAATCTCAGAGAACGTTTGTTCAAAGAATATGGAGTTAAAGGATACACTATTGTTCAGTGTTATGGTGATGCGATATTCATTCCTGCAGGAGCTCCACACCAGGTACAGTGTATTACAGTGTACTATTTGTAGCATATCTAGTGCTGGATCTATGGAAGGGAGGAATGGGTGTGCTTGCCCCAGGCACTGTAAATACAAGGATGTTTTTTGAGTTTATGAAAAATAAAATAAAGCTATGTAAATAATCAGTACTTCAATCCGCATAAGGGCGTTACATTTTAATTGGTCCTAGATCTGGCCATTGTATAATATATAATTAAATAAAATAATAATATTATATTGTGATATATTGTATCATAATTGAGTAATTATTTATCCCAAAAGATATTAAAAACAATTATCAATGAATGATTAAAAAAACATAATTTTTTATCAACCATTTCAGGTTAGAAATCTACACAATTGTATTAAAGTTGCTGAAGACTTTGTGTCACCAGAAAACGTCCATCATTCATTTCGCATGACGCAAGAGTTTCGTAATTTAACTGATAGTCACACAAATCACGAAGATAAGTTGCAGATCAAAAATATTGTTTTTCATGCGGTAAAAGACTCAATTTCAGTATTGATGCATAGCCAAAATAAATATATATAAAATATATTGTGCGTGACTATTTGTATAGTGTTATATAAATTTTAAATAATTAAACTTTTCGTTGCAAATTTACTACCTTATACTCATTTTCCTTTATTAAGATTTGAAAAATGAAATTACCTTTAGTTGTCAGTTAATTTAATATAGTTTGAATATTTAAAAAATTTTTTTTATTTAAAATCTATACAAATATATGTTGATGATAAATCTAAAATGTATAATAAATAAGTTAAGTTCAGCTATTTTAAATTGAAATTGATTAATTTTATTAATCATAAAATATTTATGTGATAATAAAATATGTATATTTATTCCATTTAATGTAAATTTATCACTTGAAATTAAATAAATTATTTGGATAAAATTAAGTAATTAGAAAATGTTTACAGATATTTTACTTGTTACTGAATTATGCGAGTTTTTAACATTTTTGAACAGAATGTCATACATTATCAAGTGTCTTAATTATTCTGTGCTTACGTTGTTAAATATGAAAAAGATAAAAATATCTATAAATCATTTGAAATATAATCTTTAATATTATTAGCAATTTATCATGATAAATTAAATACATAGATTTTTTCTCTTATTGTTTAAATAGTAACTATCCCAATCAATTGTTTTTTATTATGTGTTGATTGTTAAGATTTAGATTTTGAAATAAATATGAACTCTTAAAAAACAATAATGTAATCTAAACGTGATCAATTTTTATTTTATTTGTACGTTTTCAGTATATATTTTTAATTCTTGATGATTATAACTTATAAGTATTATTACTTTTTATTTATTTATAATTATATACATTTATAAGAAGTTATTACAGTTCAAATGTCGAAAGATTCCATGTGAAAAATTTTAAAAGAATAAAAAATAAAACAAAATCTTACATAATATAAATGTATTAAAATGTAATAAATTATCTTTTTCTTAACTTATCAATATAAAATACATTTATAAAATTACAAAAGATTCAAATTTAACTTTTATGAAATCATTAATTTAACGTCTAGCTTTTTTCAATTTAGGTTCCAATGTCCCTATAAAAAAATTGAGTTAATGATTAAACCTTAAGTATATTCTCTTACAATAGTATAACTCACTCATATCTTGGAGATTTTTTACGTCTTCAACATTCTGACCTATGAGCAAAGCAACTACTTTATCCTCATCTAAAGCAGAAATATGCGGTGAATTTGTTTTTTGTAGTTCTGGTAAAATCTTATTGATATCAATTTTCCTTAACAATTCAGGTTGTTTCACCTTTATTTTGTTAATTATTAATCTAGCAGCTGCTTCTACAGCCTTAGTATGAACAATATTTTCATCAGTATACAACGGACATCTGTTTAATCAATTACATAAGTCACATGTTTTACAGTCATCTTATTGCATAAATTAAGAAACTTACTTATCTTCTATCACATGACTGTGGTAAAAATGAGAGTAATTATCATTGACTGGTTTCCTACATATATAACACATTTTTTTGCCACAACTACATGTCATTTTGTTACAACCATCTTCCTTCACAAACTTCCGTTTACAGTAATAACAAGTTCTGCATTAAACATATACACAAATAATTATTTGATTACCAGCAGAATTTACTTAATAAACTAAACTGCCAAAAATCATACCTAATAAGTACATCAGTCATTTTGTTTTCAATCATAGTTCTAATTTGCACTTCCGGAGTTTTTTCTATTTGATCACATTTGAATGGAAAATGGCTTTCTTCTCGACACTCCCTATTTTTTTTTAAATATTTATTAGTGTTAACATATCTATTTATTTTTGTTTAAAACTATTTATAAAAAAATGTTGGAATTCTATTTAGAGTGTATAACATAAGTTACGCGAGGAAACATATATTATAGCATGGAAAAGCAAAGTATAGATTTTGATATCTAACAATTAATTACAAAATTTTCTGACCTGCAAGTTTCTTTTTTGCAATCAGGATTTAAACAGTTGATGATTTTGAGATCGGAAGATAAAATAACTGAGTAATCACAAAAAGCACATGTTTCCAGTCCTTCAATATCGGCTGCTTTGATTTCCTGGGCTTGCTTTAATCTCAATATACGTTCATACAGTTTATCATCAATAAAATTCTAAAAATATAAAACTAAATATAGTCACATTATGCTTCAAAAATGAGTAAGAGTATTTACTTTAATCATTGTTAAATTTAAGTCTTCATTACAATTAGCAAAACACTTAAAATCTATTTTACCTATACCAACATATGCTTCAATGCCTCTATAACATAAATAATAAAATAGGTAAATTAAGTTCATTCTATTTTAATAGTAAAAGTGGATATTTTAAAGATAAAACATTTTTTTAAATAAAATTAAGTATACAATTTTGCCTTCCCATTTTATATCATTCATGTCAAAAAATAAAATACTAACCTCATAAACATTTTTTTTCACTTAAAAACAATAAATACCTTTTATAATTGATAATAGTATAATTTTATAAAAATTTTCCAATTCATTTTTGCAAAAAAAAGTTTTTATTCTTTTAGTATAACTTTTATTTTAAAAATGTAAACTTACCTTTTAATGCATGATGCACAAAATTTATGACCAGCTTGACAGAAATAAGCTTCAGAAGCTAAAAGTTCTTCATCATAACAACATTCGCAAGTGCTTAATTGACCAGAAGATTTAGCCTATAAACATAATAAGTAAAATATTACTGGGGGGAAAAAAATGAAAATAATTAATTTTAAATATTTTACTTCTTCAATTTTAATTTTATGAATGGTTTTTTTAGTTTCAATATGATTCAGAATTTCATCTTTATGATCAAGGAATGCAATCTAAATTAAAAATTAATTATTATTAAAATTATATTTTAATTAAATAATATCTTTACTTCTTTCAAAAATTCAATATTCTCTGTTGTTTTATAATCATTTTGAAAAAATGATTTTCTTTTACTCTTTAAATATACGTGGCTAGTATCTTTACATAGAGCATCAACTGTAGCAGTTAGATTGAATTCATTTATAAGTAAAAAAGTTCGAAGCTTAGCTATAGAAATAAGATCAAATCTGAAATAAAAATATTTCTTTAAATCAATACACAAGATATTAACAAACAAAAATTACCTTTTACTCAAATAAGACATTGATTCTTGGTGATGATAAGAGCTTGAATTCAATTTTACATTTTTGAAGTAATGAATAGGATCAGGACATATTTTTAAATACTCCTCTACTTGGAAATCTTCAGTTAAGCTTTTTATAATACTAATAAGTTTAATCCGATCATTGTATTCCTGTAATTTTGGATAAGTTTTCTTTTTTGTAGTAACTTTTTCAATGAATTCACTTAAACCATTTTCATCATATACAAAAACTTCTCCAACGAGATCTAAATAAATAGGATCTGCATCTGGTAATATGTCTTTCAAATTGCTAGATAATTCTATTGCTTTAGAGGGTCTTCTTAAATTATCTCTGCGTAGTTTACGGACGGTAAATTTTACATTACTACCTGTTAAATCAAGTGTAATTAGCAAGCACAAACGATTTATTTCACTATAATCATTGACAGCTCTTAACATATTTGTCATATAATTTGTATACATAGTCTCCCAGCCATTATTACATAACTTTGGATATTGAAGACATTCATCATGTCTTTTGAATACGGTATTTGATTGAATAAGTATAGATTTATCATTTTGTTCCTAAAAATAGAATTCAATCAAGGATTAAATTTTTTGATGTAATAATAGAAAATGTATATTATATTTCACATTATTTATGGTTTAGTATTTTAACTTGAATTTATACTTCATATAATAACTTTTATATGTTGTTTTACACCATAGGTTCTAAACCCGAAGTCCATAGACCCCTTGCACTCCGTAGATGGTTACTCGGGGGTTCACAGAGTATCTGTGAATTTTATTGAAATAAGCCAAAAATAAATTTGTTTTGATAGCATTTTTAAGATAATAATAATTGTTGAAACACTTGAAAAACAAGAATGTTTTTAAACATAAAACTTAGATTATGATAATCTTACATGCCATATAAAGTTATCATAATCGTAAAATAATATAACATGGCAATATAATCTAATGAGCATTTCAATCTAACACGGAAACCTATCGCTTCTGCTGACCCGTTATCATATAATAAAAATTATATTTATATATATATATTTTTTTTTAAAGAGGGGTCTGTGATTATATTTTATGCTTTAAAGGGATCCATGGCCAAGAAAAGGTTAAGAATCTATGTTTTACACTGTAATTTATCTTGTTTGACTATAATTAATGATTTATTGGAAATCAGTGCTCACAAACAATAATTTAGCTTAAATGATAAATAAAATAAATATTTAACTCTATTATCAGTTTATATAATTCAAGTACTCAGCCATTACAAAAATAGCTCCTTTTTTGTAGCATTTTATGTATAACCTTATGTCAGGCCCTATTATTTGTATAATTTCAGACTGCACGCTTGATATTGAATTTAAAAAAATTCAATAATACTCATATTTCCTAATAGTTGGCTTATTATTTAATTTTTGTTTTGTAGACCATGGTGCACACACATTAAAACCGTAGTGCAAACTTGTACATTTATGGTACATATTATGTGTCAGGGTGCACATAAAAATAGGGCCTGCCTTGTGTAAATCTTTAGGGATAAGAGTAACTGGTTTATAAAGTTTTGTAGAATGTAGTACATTATCGATCAAAAATAATAGTTTAATTAATTTAATTAATTATTTGGTTTTGATAGAATCCCAAAAAAAAATTTTCAGGAAAATATTAATAATTAACTTATAACCATAACACTTTATAATGCTTAAAACAATATAAATTACAATAAATACAGTATAAATTATGGTGATATTGTTATGCTTTATATGATACTTTTATAGTTTTTCTATATGATTAAAATAGCAAACTTGTTATGGATTCAGTTTAATTAAATGCTAGCTTTCTAGATTATTTGACATGAAACTAAATGAATATTAGGTTATAAAAAAATTACTTTAATAATTGAATTGGTCATTTTGAAAAGGCCATATCTCCATAAAATGAAAATCATCAGGAAACGTAAAAAACTATTTTTGGAGATCAAAATTAAATTTAGATAAAAATTGAATAATGGGTTGAATTATTTAATTCTTTTATAAAAAACCAACTATGATATGGCGGTCTCGCAGGAAATATGCATTATTATACATATATTATTATTAATATGCATTAATTAAACACATTTATCACATAAAACTAGTTTTGAAAATGTATGGAGAAATGGGCTTTTCAAAATGACCAATCTTCAATGCACATATTTTTATTCTATTAAGAAATATTAATTTTTTTTTTTTTTTTACTATTATTTTATCTTAGCAGGGCATATATTTTTACATCATTAGATATTTATTAATAATTAATGAAAATATATGAATTTATAAATTTTTTTTTATTGAAAAAAACCAATATGCACAAACAAATTTGGTTAATAAGTTATAATGATAAAAGAAATATTTTTAACACGTGATAGGTTACCAATTAGCAGGGCTAGAATTTGTATGCAACAGCAAGATTTTTTTTCTATCTACAAATGGAGTTTTAACGAATAGTATCAACAATTTATATAATTCTGATGAAAATGATATTATTTTTATTTTGCATATTAGTATTGTATATTTAGTATGATCATATTTATTGTATATGCATTTTATTTTTTATAAGATATACTTAAAAATAAATTTACAAATAAAATACTATTTTTTGAAATACCTAAGTAATTGGTTAAATGTTTTAATATAAAATAATTGAGATTAAAAATTAAAAATTATTTATTAATTTTTCGAATGTATATTTATTGATCATTATTTTAGAAATAAAATGTCTAATTCACATTTAATAGTGGAAATATGTGTGTTATATTCTATGACTAATTTTTTTTTAAATTGGCAAATATAAATGTTCGGTGATTAGATTATAGTATTGATTTATATTGGTTAAAGTTTCTTTTAATATTACAAGATGTAATTGGTATATATTTAAATATAGGAATTTTTTATGTGTTAAATTACAACTAAAATTGTCCTTGTCTGATTCACCATTTAATATTTTATTTATTGATTGTAGTTTTAAATCCTTTAGGATTGTGTGTAATTCACTAATACCCAACAAATTACATACTTTTATTAATTGTGTTATCTTTCTTTGTTAAACTATTCAATCTTCTAACGCATATTGTATCATAGGACTGTATTTATAAAAATAAAATTTATGTTTGACAAAAAAAAACCAATTTATAAACTTTGATCAGTTTTATTATTATGGGCTCAAATATAAAACAATCATGCTAACTATGCAAAAACATGCATAAAAGTCAATATATGCAAAAACATACAAAATAAAAATAGTACCATTTTCATTATAATATAAATTGTGGACATTAATCACTAAAACTAAATTTGGACATGTCAAAAAAATCATGCGGTTACATACAAATCCTAGCTCTGGTCAAAACAGTCTTGTGGTTGACTGTTATGTTCATTTTGAGGGAGTCTTGAGGGGGAACCGTCATATAACAAAGAGAGGGCGCATTTGAAAACCGAAATGAGGGTGTATAGAATGTAGGAACTATTTTGAAAAAATAAGAAACTAATTGTTTTCAAATGCTTTGCCTTTTGCATTATAAATTAGGACAACGAAATATATTAAATGGTAATTTAAGAAAGTGTATTGTATAATCGACTTGGAAATTAAATTTTTCCGACTATTCAAAAAGCCACGACTTACCATGGTTATGGAACAGATCGCAAACAATGTCTAACAATGCAGTTCGGCAGTTCTCCGATATCACACCGCGCGGTCCAAGTTTTATTTTTATTTTTTTCGGATGAAATATTATAAATTGACTCTCGCTTTGACAGACAGCGATGACAACTGGACCAAATATTATTATAACGACATGTAAACGCGAAAATTCACAGAATTTAGCGGAATCGATTGACGAACCAAGTCGACTGTGGAGAATCGAAGAAAAATTATTTCATACAGAACATCGATAGGCACAAATTGAAATGCGAACGTTAATGATCAATGAGGCCGTGGAAGGGAATGGCAAAGTAAAAAATAATATAACTAATGCTTATTGGCAGGTTGGCGAGCCGAAGCTCAATGATTAGTAGTTCAGTAGTACTCACTACTTCGTACTTAGGTATGAGCCCGCGACAATACGATGAAAATTACAAAATTCACCACATTTATTGTTATCATCCGACGTCTGGTGTTTTTTGTTCTGGCTACCATGGTTTTCCCCTTATCAACAGTGTGACCAGATCTATAATGATTGTGGTTGGGAGAATATGATTACAATTTCCGTACCGGATATGTAATTACCCTCTAACCACGATTATAAAGAACTTTATAGTTATAGTTCTTATAGTTCTTTATAATTCTGCCTCTAACACAAGTCATTGGAAGAAATTGTAAGATATGAATTGTTACGGATTCTCCATAGGCACAATTTGGGAGTGGGCTTGGGTGTGCTTTACACCCCCATTTTCGAAATTAGCACTCCCAAATGTTCATTTATATTTAAATACTCATTTTTCATTATGTATAGAAAAACATAATAGTTCTAGATTTTTTTTGTATAAATACATTTTTATACAATACGAAAATATTTCGCAGTACGAAAAAAAAATATCTTTGCTATAAGGTAAAAGTTTCAAGTTTCTAGCCACATTACTTTTGGAATTATGACTAAATAACTAAAATTTGAAATGTGAAAGTCTTATTTACAGCATATTTTTATCATTACAGGACAGTTTTTTTCTCACGTCTATAAAAACTATTAAGATTTAAAAAACTGACCTATCTAAAGTACCACCGCATACTAATTTAAAATCTAAAAAAGGTCCTAAAAAAAATTGTGGACCAGTATTTCTATCCGAAAAAGTGTTAAACAAATAAAATACAAACATCATTAAAAACCGTTATATCCTTCGCTTCAGTCAGAATCTAAAAGTGATCATGTGATAAAACATTTGTGTTTACAGACAGATAATTCGTTATATGCACAATAAAAATATAAAATCAAAATGAACAATTTAAATTTAGGAATATTCATATATTTACCAAATATTTTATAAATGGTGAGAATGCGCGATAACGGACGAGTTTTGGTCGCTGCCTAGTAGCACTCTCTCAATTGCCGTACCATAGTAACTGTTGAATTGTACGGTTTGCAGGTGTCTATAACCATTAAGGAACATGAAAAAGATAGAAGGACTTCAGCACCCCCAGTTTTTTTATTGAAATTGCGCCCCTGGGATTCTCCATAAAATTCGCTTTACATTATTTTCATTTGGAATCAAACAAGCAGCTTAGTCTTGATTTGGTAACTTTTGCGTAAACTTTAATAGGAATACCGAAATTGTTTACAATATTTTTTTCATCGCATACTTTTTTAGTATTTTTAATATTAATTTATATATTTATAAATTTATTAATTTATTAATATTATATTATATTATTTTATTTTATTTTTAATTTATTAATTAATTTATTTATTTTTATTATTAATATTTTCTCTCATAAGGCACGAAATACTTCTGCTTTGGCAGAATCAGGAATGTGAAATGTTGTTGGAATTTTAAAATTTTGGTTTTCGATGAATTTGACGTTAGACTACGTTTACAATGCTCTTCCTTTTGTTGAACACAAGCAGTAGCGTAGATACAATTCTTTTCTGGGGGGGGGGGGGTGTTTAAGAGTAAGTTTTTAAGTGTTCGTAGTATATCTTAAAACGAGATCATATATAATAATATTACATTTAAAATAGTGTTATTATGTCCCGTATTAATGAAAATTATTTTGTTATTCAATTTTTAATATATACCTAATCATAGTAAAATCAAAATATTTTACTATAATATATAAATATTAATAAATAATAATCAAATATCATTAAAAAAAAATCTGTGGGGGGGAAACCCCTTACACCCTCCCCGTAACTACGCCACTGAACACAAGTATACCTAAGTTCATTAACAACTTCTTTTTAAAAACATAAATCATTAATAATTTATGTATTATTAATTACTTCAATTTCATCTCTTGAATCTGAGTTTATATTGAATGAATAACTTTTAAATTAAATGAACAGACTACAGAGTACAGGCACTAAATAGTGACTAATAGTTATAGACTATAGGTTAGTAGCTACTAAAGACCTGCAAGAGCATAGACCTACAAGGCCCATCCCGGTTCTCAAAAAGCCCGGCCCGTACTTACACTGGACCGGGCCGGGCCTTAAAAGACATAATGAGGGCTAGATCGGACTTTCGTTTTCGTAAAAATGTTCAGGCCAGACTCTCAAAATAATAAAACCAAGGATGAATCGAGCTTTTTTTTGTAGAACTTTTCGGGCTGGGTTGGGCTTAAGGATTTTACGTCTGGCGGAGCTTGGACATTTTATGGATTTTTTTTTTGTATGACAAATAATTATTATTTAAAATAAAAATGATAAATTCTCATTACGACGTAAGAAAAACCACAAATATTATTTAATTCGTGGAACGTGGGTACTGAGTAATGGGTATAATAAAGTTATTTATATATAATTCATAAATATGTCATTAATAAGTAACAACACTTCTACCAAAATATATGGCATATTATGAGTGGAGTAAAGGTATTTGTCTATTATAGCGAGATTATTATTTCTATAGTATCATAGTACTAAGTACCAATATAAAATAGAAACGATAGTTTGAAGTATTTAAAGAAAATCTATTGTGTTTGACTATGGAGATTGTTAACAATAATATACGATCAAAGGCGTATTTTTGTTGAGGCAATGGGAGGGGGGGGGCAAAACTAATTTTTCTGCAATACGAACTTAAAAATAATTGACAGTTCATTACAGGAGCGTACTCAAGGGGGGGTTCTGTTCCGGACCCCCCCATTGAAATTTCTACATACTCAATGGTTTAAAAGTAAATAGTACATAGCATATTTTAATTTCCCATTATCTTCAATATACAAAGTTTATAGATTATATGATATACCTATAATGGTTAGTCTAACCTATAATGTATAAACCATGTTTAATTTATACTGCTTTTTCAATATTATTTATTATTGTTAATTAATAATGTATTTTTTTTATAACATTTTACTATCAAATAAAAATTGATTTCAAATTATAGTACCTACCTATTATAGTAAGCCTTTCTGAAGAAAATGTGTGAGGTGTGTTTAACTATTGTGACTATTACTATAGTTATTAACAGTAATTTGTTGATATTGAATTAAACTATAATTATAATTAGAGAACATTTTTTGACCACCTCCCTAAAAAATTCCTGGGTACGCCAGTGGTTCATTACCTACAACTCATGTTCCTATTGTTCATTTGAGTGAATAAATAAAAATACAAGTACGAAATTGAATTAAATATTTATGTAATAAATATATTGAAAACCTACTGCAAATAAAATAAGTATTAATAATAAAAACACAAATAGTTCTTATATTAAAATTGTACCTTCAGTCTGAATCCTATATAAAAAAAAACAACAAATAATCATAGTAATAATAGTACCCATTATTTCTTAAAAACTTTAAAAAACAATTAAGATAGGTAACTTTTTGTATGGAGGAGACGATCAAGCATACTAAGGAGACGATGACAAAATGCTATATCATGGTTGTATGGTATGATTATATGAAGGCTTATAATCAATGAGGAGAACAAGTAAAATAGTTCTTATAATATTAAAACACAATAAATTCTTTAATTTATATGAGAACAAAAGTTTTTGGTTAACAAAACATTTTTTTAGTAATTAATTGGAAATAATTCAAATAACCGTATCTTTCTTATCGTTTTTATTCATCCGTCTGCAAACTGTACATATTATAGAATTACCGAATGCTCTCAACCACGTCCGTACGTCTGGCAACACTGCTTATTAAACACATGGCTGATGTTTTAGTATTTTTTCCATTGTGCATTGTTGGAGTCGGCGTCCATAGTATATCATGTATTCAGTGAGCGATGAGTGGTTAGCGAAATTATAGGAATGTAGTGTACGCCTGGACAAATCCTTTTTGACCTCTACCCCATAGAGTGATATAGAGAGGGCATTATATATAGGGATGTCAAAAAAACATCGATGTTATAAGCTAAAAAAATCGATGTTCAACATCGTTTCTATAATTTGCATCGATGTGTAATGTTTACCGATGTTTTAATTTCGATGTTTGCTTTATTTCTGATGTTCAAGGATATTACACAAAATATTTTTAAAGTTTTTCATTCGTATAATTATAAACGTATTATTATTATTTAATTAATATTAATTTGGTTAATAAGACAAGTCAGGATGACTGTATCTTGATCTTTATTCATAATAATAGCCTTGTATTTCTATAATATTTAATTATAGAAATAAACTAAAATGTTTCCCAAATATAAATAAATGAAACTTGTTATGTGGAAAATTGGCATCAAAATTGATTTTTTTAAACAACTTGGCCGATCAATTTTGGCATCGTTATGAATGACAACATTGGTTTCAATTTAAAATAATATTTAAAAACTATTATACATAACTTATGAATTTATTGTGATTATATTTGAGTGTAAACTGTATTTATTTAATTTAAATTTAATTTTCTTACACAATGTTTTTTTTTTTCATTTTTCTAATAAATAAGTAAATAAATTTAGTTGGTTGTGTATGTTTAAATTTTAAATGTTTATAATATAATATAATTTAGCATGTGTGCTATGGCAAAGAATAACAATTATAATAAAACGTATGTTTGTTTTTTTCTAAAAAACATCGAGTTCTTGACTTTGATGTTTTTTTAATTTATCGATATTGTCATCATCGATGTACACAAAAAAAATTCTATTCCTAATTACATATCTCAGCTACACATGGAAGTGAATATAAAAAGTTGTATGTTTGCTAGTTTAAGGTAATAGTTCCAAAAAATTATTGTATAATATATGGTAAAACGATTCACCTATAATGCTGTTATCTTCGATACTTTTGTTATCTCGAGTGTTTTTAGTAAAAGTGATGGTTAACGGTGACTAAATTTGGTCACCGTGACAATGGTAACAGCTATTTCAATACCACAGTGACTTTCAATGGTGACTGGTCACCATCCGTTTTGAGTGATAAATATTTAAATTACTCAGTCGTCATCATCGAGTATTATATTGGCTGAATTAGGGCTGTGCGATTAATTGAA